TTAAGCACTAGAAGGGGGCTTATTCATCACTGAATCCTATTTTATTTCAAATGTTAATTTCAAAAGCTTGTTCAATTACTTTGATTGTGCTTTTTTCTTCTCTACTGGGGGAGTTTATAGTCGTCAATATATTTATGACTATGTATATAAAATCCAGCACATACCTATGTGAGGCTATACTGAACTCATTTATATACATTTTTTTGTGCCAACATTGTAATTTTGAATTTAAATTTATTTCCCTTGGCTGTTTCAAAAAAAGTGCAAAGTACATATATTATGCCATAATACATTTAGCTGGGGAGTTATTGTTGCTGAGTTGACAGAATGAAGATACAGACTGGAAGTATTTAGAACAAAAAACCCCAAACATACTATTTTGTTCTAGAAAAAGCAAAGAAATAGAAAGAAGAAGTCATGAATAGAAATGAAATGTCAGTTAGCAATATTTCAAGTTGAATCCAAGACTGATTGAGCTGGATTTCTCAAGCTATTCTGCAATTCTTGCTATGCTTTAGCTCACCAAATATAAGACACTGAAATAATCACCCAATAAATAACCCTAATTTATAATAAATAATTATGATTTATCATTAATTGTAATAAATAATTATGATAGCATAACATTTCTTTTATATCATGATCAAGTTCTTTTAACTTTTGCATCTTTCTTTTTGTCTTTCATGACTGGCTTTTGAGTATGTAAACTGCTGGGTATCATCTGTGGTATGTGTTTACCCTAAGTTCTCTTTAAAACAATTCTTGGCAACATACTAAGTTGGGCTTTGGGCTTCAATCTGGCCAGTTCTTAGCCAATATTTTGAATAGAAGCATGTAAGTATCATAATAACTGAGAGAATAACTTCCTATTTTCTATTTAGTCCAAGCTGCACTTGGCTCAATGATGGCTTGAAAAGAAGGCATCACCTATTCAATTGCTGTGAGATGGATTTAGGTTTTAAGGTGTGCTGCCAAATTCACATTTACAGCTAAAGAGAGTGATTTAAAATCCATTGGCAATTTCTTGTAAGGGAACCTTACTAGTGAAACAGTTCCAACCTTAGAAACTTCCATTTTGAGACAATTCAATTGAATTTTATTAGCTTGAATATCCCAACTTATTTTTTTTAGAGAGTCTCAGAGGTAACACTGCACATAAAACACTCCTTGGGGAATCAGGGTACCAGACACTTACTGGGTAATCCTGAAGCTGAAAAATGTATTTAAAACTGGCTGAAAAGGAATAAACTAGCAAAATCTTTGGGGTTACTGAGGTCCTGGGAATGGCTGAGGAGTCCCTCCAGTACTGTCTTGTTTTGTCTGAAATATTGATGAAAAACATCTAGAGATCTTTTAAACACTCTCTGGTGCAAGGTACTTGATTTGTAAGGTTTCCTTCTGCTAAGCTTCAAAATACTACTCTCATCAGAAATCAATGGATGCATCAGTCAACCTCCCCACTGGTTTGCAAGCGCTGCTTACTCTGGACTGAACTTCCTTTGATATAAATGGATTTTGCTGCGGTGGCTACCATGACCTTCCTTTGTGATGCAGACACCTCAGAACTGAGCAATAACTTATGCCCAAGAAAGGGCTGAAGCTATTTCCGCCCCTTCCCTGCCTTTTCTGTGAATACAAATGTGTATCATGTTTCTGATGATTCATCTCTTAGAAATGGAAGAACTTGCCAGTCCACAGAATAAGACAAATTATGTTCCGTGTCTCCTCCTCAGGTTTATTTCAAATTCAGTAGATTAAAAGGAAAATGTACAGCCCAAGTGGAAGTGGAGGGTTCAGTTCTTCCAAATCTTAGTTTTAATTTCTGTAACAGCTACAAAATATAGCTAATTTTTTTACAGTCTTCCTGTGTTTAATATCTTTGCAGATAAAGTTAAAAATGAATGAAATTCTTGGTGCCTAGATACAACTCTCAGAGCTCCTTAATGAAATAAACTTAGTTTCAGATTCCATGAGCTGTTCCAGGGCAGTGAGTGAATTGTTTCCCAGGTAGCTCAGGGGCTGAATCTCACCTCAGGCCTAGATTCCTAACCAACAAGCAGTGGGCATTGGTATGTGCTGGCAGAGGCTCCCTAAGAGCCTACAGAGTCCTTGCCTTGAGTTCTTTCCCTGACTCCTAACTATGGCTTTTATTGCCTCTTCTTCCCTAGGCTGCTTTGCTCTTCCATCTCTTTTTGTGGGTCATCCTTGTGCATGGATCAACTTGCTTGCTTGCCTGTGGCCTGAACCTCAGGCACGCTACTCCTTTGTTCTGGTATTAGTTTGTATGATTTAACCTATTGATAGCTGGCCAAATATCTGGTTGTTCTCATTTTCCCTATTTAGTTGGACCTTCTGGTCTCCCCAGTTCTTAGATCTGTTTTGTTCTGGCTACAGCACTTCTGTCTTTATCATAAATCCACTGAAGGCCTAACACCAGATTCCTTACACGGTGATTATAATGCCATTGTAATTTATTATGTGTATCTTTTATACAAGATGATGAAAGCTGGGAACCTCTCTATACCAATATTTCTATAGGCAGCTCTGAGAGAATTTGGTTTCCCTGGCGTTGATTCTTGCATACCAGCGTGATGGTTATGACTTGGCTCCTTGCTAAATGCCCAAAGCCCAGTAGCAGCCTCCCCACCCTTCCCCCTTCCTTCTTCCCCCAGGGCAAAGGAAAAAAAACTATGCAAATTGAAGAATTTGAAAATTAAGTTAGTTATATAAAAAATATATTTTATGTATATTACAGTTAAGATGCTATGTACACAGCACAGGGAATCCAAACACCCCCCGAAGAGATAGGGAAAGGGGGAAAAGGGACAAAAGGAAACAAAAAGGGACACCGAATACATACGCACAATCAAACCTGAAAATTAGTAAAATAACTAGTAAAACAAATCTCACCACGTCCCTTAGAAAGCAGGATTGGGAGACACTGCCAGCACTCTCCAAGCCTCCACGTGGCAGGTCAGTGGATGCTGCAGGCCTCAACCTTAGATAAGTGAGACCAACGCAGGGACCCATTGTTCCCGAACTTCGCCGGAAGAGAAGAAGAGCAAAGGCCTCTCCTCCCTTCTTATTTATACCAGGATTTACGTAAAAATCGTATGGAATACTGGGAACACTGCCCCTTTCTTAGTTACAACCTGATCACCAAGGAAGGCTTGGATTAAAACCACCACAACCAGACAGCTGTCTGCTCTTGCCAGCTGTGTTTGTTGTTAAAGATATTGCATCTACTTATAAACCTTGCCTGCAGTTACACTGTTCACTCTGGACCAGCTCCTGAGCAGACAATAGCACTAGCTGCTCTCACAAGCTCAGGCCTCATGTCAAATTCCTCTTGGCAGCTACGGATGGTTTCCCAGCTTTCAACATTTGAAGAAGAAAAGGAGATTGAAGATAAGTGGGAATAGATGAATAAACCCCCCAGATGAGTAACAATATTGTCTATCAGATGGGATCCTTTGCTGTGCTGGGAATAGGTGTAAAATAGGACAGCTTTTCCCAAGAAGCAGCTCAAAGACTGTGGTCCCTGTTCCTTCATCTCTGCTTTTGATTGTCTTCTCCTGTTGCTGTAACCTCGATGAATACCTAAAGTTTCCCTCCTTAAGCAGTGGGCTTCAGGAGGAGAGAGAGTGGGGGTATTTCTGGCCTCACACCCACAGTGTGATTCTGCCTGCAAATATCTTGTCTGTATCTTCATAAATATCAAAGGAACAAGGGTGCAACTGTGGCCAGACTGAAGCTCTAGGAAGTTCTGCATCCATTCAGAACTACAAGAAATACTTCTGCTAACTCCAAAATTTCCTAAATACCTCATCATCTGTTTTAACCAAGAAGATAGGCCAGAGCATGAGGAGTGAATATAAACAGAATTATAATTGACATTGACATCATGGATAACGTATATCAATAGATGTAACAGGCAGATAATGATAATCTTTATTTTTGAAACTTCTATAGAATAATGTTATGTATTTGGATAGAGGGAAGTGTTCTAATTGCTAAACCGCAATCTATATTTTGTAGTGTGTCCTAGATTAATAGTCTTTTGTGTGTATTTAGACAATTGAGCTGCTTGCAAACTCAGAAGCAAAGATTGTCGACGTGAGTAGAGGGAACAGGGAAAACAGGGAGATTGTGCCTTTGCACCACAGCACTCGAGCAAACAACACCACAGCAGAGATCACCCAAAGGCAAAAAGCCGGTCTGGGGAAATGGAAATGGGACACTTTGTTGTAACTCTTGTCCCGTCTCCCATCTCCCTTGTTCCCTGCTCCCAGGACACTCAGGGACTCCTCCTGTTCCTGCCCTGCACAGCCACAAGCAGGTGACCTGTTTCGATAGGATGAGAGGACATAGTCTTAAAGTCTGCGCCAGCAGGAATTTCTTCTCAAAAAGGGTGATTAGACATTTGAAAGGGCTGCCCTGGGAGGTGACGGAGTCACCGTTCCCAGAGGTGTTTAAAGACAGACTGGACGTGGCACTCAGTGCCATGGTCTGGTTGACATGGTGACATGTTCGGTCACAGGTTGGACCCGATGATCTCAGAGGTCTTTTCCAGCCCAACTGACTCCATGATTCCGTGGAACTCGCCCTTGTCGATAACACCAGGAACAACCCCCCCAAAAAAACCCGCTCCCCAAAAAAACCCGCTTCCCAAACCCCACTCCTTCGCGTCCCGGCTCGCTCTGGCCCCGCCCTCCAAGGCTCCGCCCCCGCCTTCCCTTGGCCCCGCCTCCGAGCGTTCACCCAATTCCCTTCAGGCTAAACCACGCCCCTTGCCACATGACCACGCCCCCACCCCTTAATCCCGCCCCCTCGGGGCCGGGGGCGGGGCTGCGGCGCGCGCGGGGTCGCTGCGCCGTGACGCAGCAGGAGGAGCTGAGGCGGCACTGCCCGCCCTTCCTCCTCCTCCTCCTCCTCCTCCTCCTCCTCCTCCTCCTCCTCCTCCGTGCCCGCCCGACCGGGACGCACCGGCGCAGCCGGAGCCGCTCCGCCGCCGCCGGGGCCCGGGGGAATAGCCGGGCTGCCGCTGGCCATGGTGGCCCGCCCGCCGCCGGCGGGGCAGGAGCAGGCGCGGCGGCGGCGGCCGCCATTGCGCGCGGGGGCCGCGGGACTATGAAGGATGGAAGCGGACGAGGTGACGATCCGGGAGCAGAACTTCCACAGCCAAGTGCGGGAGTACACGGTAGGACCCTGCGCCGGGCTCCCTGGCTGGGCGATCCCTGCCCGCCTGCCTCCTCCCCGCCCTGTCACTGCGGGACCCCCCGTGCCCACCGCCCCCCAGCCCTGAGCCCGGGCAGCCGGGGGGGTGTCCCGCTCTCCCCCGCTGTCCTTGCCTGCCCCAGTGCCCGGAGGGACGTGGGGGCCCGTCCCGGGTGGGCAGCGCTGTGCATGCTCCTCCCTCCGGGCCGGCTGGAGGATATCAGGGCTGACCGACCCCCTGGAGGGTTTTCCTCTCCCCAAGCTTTCAGCGAAAAGGGAGAATGCTGTGTATCCATGCAGGGCATCGGTGTGCTCCTTCGGAGTGCTCTCGGAACAGATACCAGTGCAGCAACCCCGTGAACAGTGTTCAGCCTCGGGAAAAGAAGACAGAGGGGAGCTCATTAATCTGTATAAATATCTAAAGGGGGTTGCCAAGGGGATGGATCAGGCTCTGCTTGGTATTGCCGAGCAATACGACGAGAGACAACAGGAAGTTCCACCTGAACATGAGGAAGAACTTCTTTACTGTGCGGTGACCGTGCACTGGGACACATTGCCCAGTGGAGATATTCAAGCAACTGTCTGGATGCAATCCTGTGCTATGTGCTCTAGGATGACCCTGCTTGAGCAGGGAGGGTTGGACCAGATGACTTACTGTGATCCCTTCCAACCTGACCCATTCTGTGAACACCTCAGCCCTCAGGTGCAGCCTTGTTCCCATCAGGTGCACGTGGGATTTTGTATTACCACTTGTGATGCTGGGATCCTCCTGCCTCGTTGAGCTGTTTACAGTGCCTGTGTGTAATGTTCACGTTCTCCCTGACCCCTCATGCCCAGTGCTCTCCCAGTGGAGCCATACGGAGCAGGCAGGTGCAGCCCTGCATCCTGCATGCAGACGGAGAGAGCAGTTGTGGTTTCCTCTCTGACTGCCTCGTAATTGTTTTCAGGGCTATTCAAAAGCTGGTGGAGGTGTTTTGATGGGGTTCTCGTCTCTCCTGCTTCAATTCCAGGAAGGAAATACATGCTGCTCGCAGCAGACATGCAGCGTTGTCTCCTGTGCACATGCCGGATCACGTTCTCTTTGTGGTCACTGTTGTCTAAGAAAGAAGGCATTTCTTGAATTAAAATATGATTTCATAATTTACCTTTAAGTATTTTTCAGCTATTGGGAGACTCTAAAATCCCACTGTTAACTGATTTATGTAGGCCTACAGCTCAGTCATTTGGTAACAGAGACTTGCTTGGATCCCCGGAGTGTTAATTCCTTCTCTGTATTTTACGAATCGATGTTAAGACCTTCTTTTTTCTGGTGAAGTGTTCTCTTTCTGGGATGTTTTTTTCTGAAGAGTTCAAAACAAGCCCGTATGAGGAGAACTGTTTCTTTAGGAGATTTTTTGGACTTTATCCTTTTTGGGAGGGGATGTAGCGTATGTCCTGGAAGCTCTGACGAATGTAGGGGCATGAAAAGTAAAATACTGTCTTGTAAAGAAGGCTTTAAGCATTATATTAATCAGCTCTGTGGTATGAAAACATGGATGTATGCACAAATCACTTGTCTTTTCCCTTGTGTCTGTTTTTCCATTTGTATTTGTGTGCTAATTATCTCCTACTTATTTCCAGCACAGTCTTGTTCTGATAAATCTTATGCTATGTATGGTGCTTTTCTATCTGGTAGGATGCACAGATTTTGAGTCTGAAGGAACTGTGTGCAGCCTCTCTGGGTACTGTTACAAGTAGTGAAGATCTATTAAACTTGTAAAGAACTATCTCATCTATACTGCAACTGCTTTTCTAAAGTTTCTTCAGCCCATTTACAGCAGTTGGTAACTCTTCCCAGTGATGTAAGAAATCATATAAGATGTCAGTAACTTGTATTTTAGAGGTGCAGTGTTGTTTTGTTTGGACTGTGGAGGCGGAATATTCTTTCTCTTGGAACTTTACTTTGATCTTAACATGGATCACAAACCACCTTTGTTATTGTTTAATCAGTGGGAATAATAATAATAATAACCATTTTGCCTTTAAGTCATGCATTGCTACAGTTGTGATCTAGTCTTTAATTTATGTTGGAAGACCACAGGATTTTAGGAGTGCATAAAGTGCTGCCACCCCTAGCTGAGTGTGCAGCCTCATAGCTGCAGGAGCACGTTACAGGTATGAGTGCATACTCATGTTCCTTACACGCACAATTATGTTAACATCCTCTCCTACCCATTCCTGTCCTTGCTGCTCATGAAGTTACGTGGTTAAGATAATTTCTTAAAATAAGCAAATAGCTGTTGTGTGGGTAGGGGGAATAATCCTTAGCCCCTCAGCTGGAGGAGGGAACAGACTCCACTCTGACATATGCAGAAAACCTTGATTCCAGCTGCAGGTGGGCTGGGGGCAGTGCAGCAGTTAATAGAAGGATTTTATGTTACAAGGGGTAGTAGCTTTAAATTGGAACATGGTAAGTTTAGAATAGTTGTTAGGCAGAAATACTGTATTGTCAGGGTGGTGAGACTCTGAAACAGGTTGCCCTGAGAAATTTTGGATGCCCCATCCCTGGAAGTGTTCAAGGCCGGGTTGGATGGGCTTTGAGCAACCTGGTCTAGTGGAAGGTGTCCTTGCCCATGGCAGGGCATTGGAACTAGTTGACCTTTAAGGTTCCTTCCAACCCAAACTGTTCTATGATTCTATGTTTGTTGTTTAATGTTACAGTGGAGGAAACCTGTATATGCCTGTAAGGAGCAAGACAAATTTATGTAATCTGGTAGTAGTGTCTTTGGAGAGCTAGCTGTGTGGCACAGTCTTTCCTTGAAGCTAAAATGATACATTCATGAGAGAAGAGAAATCAAAGTAAGCTGATGTAGTTGAAAAGAAATCCTTTTCCCTTTTCTCTTAAAAATTTTCTTTGAACGCATACAGGATTTTTAGATTGTGCTTTCTGATGGAGTCCTAAGGGCACACTAAACTTAGCTTCACTGTACTGCCTCATTTCTGTTTCATCTATTCTCTGAACTGGCAAGCTACAAAGTTTTCCATAAAGTTGTGTAACGTAAAAAAATTCAAGGCTTGTTATCCTTCTGCTGGTGGTGCCTGTCTCTTTCTGCAGGTGCCAACTTCTGCTAATTCCACCTTCAAAAGACAAATATTTCTGACACATGTTTATAGATGGAGCAAGGGTAGGGAAAGATTTTTTAAAAAAATAAATCCTTCATCTGCTTTTGAGGTGACTCAGTGGTTTAAAGCTTAATTTAACTCAGGCCCGTTTGCTCTTGACCTCATTTGGAGTGTCTGTATGGTACCTGTTTTTTTCAGGAGGGGGCCTGTTTGCACTAAAATCATCTGCCCTGTATTTTGTTGCTTCATGAGGATGATCTTTACTATGAGAAGGTGGTAAACTCCCTACTCTAGTTTCAGCTTAACTCTTCTGTGTGAATCTTCTATATAAATCTGCTATGTAGAGAATTTGTTGCTCCAAACAGTTGTTGAAAATACCCAGACTCTCAGACTTGTATGAACTCTAAAATTCAGATGCAGTGAAGTGTAGATTGTGACCAAGTGTAAGAGACGTGGCACAAACACAAGTTTGCTCAAAGTCAGTGAGAGCCTTGACTTAACAAAGCCAGAGCCATACTCAGTTCTGGCTAAAGCAGGCATCTTTCTGAAAAGCAACTGTAGTTGATGGCAAAATATGGAAGAGGGTTTATGTTCTGTACTTGATCAGCATTTGTGTGAAAGAGTTGTAAGGGCCAGACAATGTTCTGTGCTGGTCTGATGTGATCTGTTACTTTGTACACTTCATTTGCCCTTCCTGGTCCTTTAGATTAATTTTATAATTTGCTGAGATCTTGCACATCCGTGGAAGGTATTTGGGCTTTTAGGGACTTGTTTTTCCCTTGTGTCTTGTTATCATGTCTGTTTATAAAGTGTTCCATTTTCTGCTGGTGTTGTTGTGAACTGTTTATTTCAAATGTAAATTGAGTAAGTGCAATGGTTCAGTCTCTTTCTGGTCCCCTGGGTTTCCTTTTTAGAATATTCTTACATTTCTTTTTTTCCAGGTTGAGTCCTCTATTCTGCAGCATGAATTTGGATTTTTAAAATTTAGCTCTACTTTTTTAATTGTTATTTTTCCACTTACAAAGTGTAGAAAGTTTGTAAAAATATACATGTACACTTAGTTACGAGATTTCCTTGGCAAAGTACATACATTTGTACTTGCATTTGTAGTGTGGGAAAAACTATGGAAGGACGCAATTTTGTGACTACGGAATTATTACTTAGAAAGCTGAAGAATATGTATAGTATATTTGGAAAGCAGTTTGTTGTATTAAATATATCATGAAAAAAATCAGTCCTGTAGAGTAAGTTTGAATACAGAAGTGCTGTTATAACTCTAAGTGCTTCATGCCTGTTCAGGCAGATGTTGAAAGTGGTATAATATGTAGTTTTGTATTAAACGTGAGATGCTTCATTTGAAGGGCTAAATGTTTTCAGGCTTCAGATACTAAATATTCTGAGAAACTTAGTTTCTCTATTTCTTAATGCAATTTCCTCTGCTAGAAGGCCTTTTTTTTTTTTTTTTTTTTGCCATACAACTTCTAAATATTTATTATCTTTTTAAGGTGACAAGATTGTTGTTTTATGTGCGCAAATCTGAATCTAAAAATAATTTCTAGCAGTTTAGAAAGGCCTTTTTAGGTAGGTGCAACTGTCTCATGTCTTTCAGTTTGTATGTTTGTTTGTTTGCAATTTCACACTAATACCATTGGCTTTGTTTTGTTCACTGATTTCTTTACCTACTTTTTCTCCTCTTGTCCTGTTTTGGTGTAGATGGTGTCCAGGATTCTTCTATGAACTAGTGCAGTGTGGTTACTGCTGGCATTTGTCCCTTATCAGGCTGTAAAATGAGAAAGCACTGTAGTCCTGTTGGGAGTATGCTCTTGTTCCTGACCGGTTCTGCCTCCTTAAAAAATTGTGATCTTCATAGACCCTTTTTCA